CGCCTTTTCTATCTTTCTGGTAAGATCACTGGCGCTTGCTTCTTATTGGACACAGGAGCCCAGGTTAGCGTCATCCCGGCCACGTATGCAGATCTCCGTCGCAACAAACAGACCTGCCCACTCCAAGTGATCAACAATTCCGCCATTCGCACATACGGCCAACGCTCTCTTACACTTGACCTTGGACTACGTCGTACGTTCCGCTGAATTTTCATCCTCGCTGACGTCTCGCAAGCTGTTCTTGCAGCAGACTTCATCAGTTTTTTCAACCTTGCTGTGGACGTGCATACTCATCGCCTCATTGACCTCAACACACACCTCTCTATCAACGGTGTACTGTGTACTTCTTGCTAACGGGACTGCGAGTTCTCACACCTGCTTCGCTGAATGCAAAAAACTCACCGACTTTCCCAGCATCACGAAGTGGCACAAGAGAGAGTCACCAGTGAAGCATTCCATCACTCACCGCGTTCTGACCACCGAACCTCCCACTTTTAGACGACCCCGTCGACTATCTGGAGAGCGCCTCACCATCGCCCGTCACGAATTTGAGCACATGCTTGAACTTGGCCTTGCGCGGCATTCGTCCAGCAACTGGGTGTCACCACTCCACATGGTGCCGAAGAAAGATCCTGGCGACTAAAGACCATGTGAGGATCACCACCACGTCAACGCCCACACGTTACCAGACCGCTATCCACTTCCTCACATACAGGATTTCACTTCAAATTTGGCTGGGCGCACAAGATTGACTTAGTGAAGGCTTACCACCAGAATTCTGTAGGGCCCATCGACATTCCGAAGACAGCCATCACCAACCCATTTGGTCTGTTTGAATATGTGAGGATGTCTTTTGGATTGCGCGACTCTGCAAAGACCTTTCAACGAACTATCAACGAGGTCACGCGAGGTCTCGATTTCGTATTTGCCTACCTTGATGACCTCCTTGTAGCAAGCTCATCCAACGCTGAGCATGAAGCCCACTTGCGCACCCTGTTTCACCACCTGGATGATTACGGCTTCGTAAATAATCCCAATAAGTGCCTCTTTTCGCGTCGCTACAATAGAATTTCTAGGCCACCTTGTCACTTCAAAGGGCATCCAACCACTCGCCAGCAAAGTGAAAGTTATTCAAGACTTTCAACCCCCAACTTCACCAAAGAGACGCCGAAATTTTCTGGGCCTACTAGACTTCCATCGCCGCTTTCTTCCAAAGTGCGCCACCTTCCTAAAGCCCTAGACCGACCTAATAGCTAAACAAAAAACCCGGCTGCGCCACTGGAGTGGACTCAGGACGATGCATCTTCTTTCGACAACTGCCAAGAAGGCTCTGGCAGACGCCACCATGCTCATACGCCCCGTCCCTGATGCCCCAATTCGTCTCATCAGCAAGTGCATCAAGCGTGGCAGTTGGCGCCGTTCCCGAGCAGCATGTATCCGGTTGGCAGCCCCTTTGGTCTTTCTCGCAAAAACTAAAACCACCGGAAGCAAAATACAGTACATTTGCCTGAGAACTCCTCGCAGTATACCTTGCCATCAAACATTTTCATCGTTTATTGGAGGGCCGGAACTTTTACGTCGTTACAGACCACAAGCCCCTGATGTTTGCCTTCCATCGCAATCAAAGCAATTATACTGCATGGGAGGTTCGTCAACTATGCTTTATTTTCGAGTTAACTGTGGATCTCAGACCCGTAAATGGGCAGGAAAATGCTGCTGCTGATGCACTATGCCGCACCGATGCCTTGTCGACCCAGCCACCACTAGACATCGAAGAGCTAGCAGCTGCCCAAAGCAACGATCCTGAGCTGCATCGTCTTCGTTCTTCATCCACGTCTCTATCGTTCACTGAGTTGCTGCTTACATTTTCTACCTCAACAATAACGTGCGAGATGTCTACTGTTGACCCTAGGCCCTTTGTGTCTTCAGCTTTTTATCCTGCAATTTTTGATCAATTGCACAACTTGAGTCATCCTGGTATTCGTGCGACCCAGAAGCTAGTCACGTCTCGTTTCCTTTGGCCAAGCATCAATGCTGATGTCCGACACTGGGCACGAATCTGCCTTGGGTGCCAGCAGGTTAATGTTCACCGTCACACAATCATGGCAACATCGCCCTTTCGGCCTCAAGACGCAAGGTCTTCCCACGTCCATCTCGACATTGTCGGCCCTCTTCCGTCATTGCAAGGAGCCTGTTACCTGCTGACATGTGTGAATCGCTTCACCAGGTGGCCGGAAGCGTTTCCAATTTCCGACACTACATCACCAACAGTTATCAAGGCTTTCAAAAATGGCTGGATGTCGGGCTTCGGGTGCCCTTCTGTCGTCACCACTGATCGCGATCGTCAATTTTAATCAGCCTTTTTCACCGTACTTGCCAATATCCTGGGCATTCGACTCATCCACACAACTGCCTACCATCTTTTCGCCAATGAAATGGTCGAACGCCTTCATCGACAACTAAAAGCTGCCCTCACTGCTCACCAGCCAAGGGAACGTTGGCTCGACCACCTCCCCTTCGTACTTCTGGGCATCCGATCAGCATTGAAAGTGCATCTCAGCTGCTCATCAGCAGAACTAATCTATGGCGTTTCCCAGCGTCTTCCAAAAGAATTCTTCGAGCCATCATCGCCACTTTCTGCTCACGATGCCTCCACGTACATTCAAGTGCTCCGCACCAACTTTAGATACCTTGTTCCAGTAATTCCTGCCCACCGACACCCACAGTCTTTCTTCGTCAGCCTTGCCCCGCCGCGGTGGTCTAGTGGCTAAGGTACTCGGCTGCTGACCCGCAGGTCGCGGGTTTGAATCCCGGCTGCAGCGGCTGCATTTCCGATGGAGGCGGAAATGATGTAGGCCCGTGTGCTCAGATTTGGGTGCACATTAAAGAACACCAGGTGGTCGAAATTTCTGGAGCCCTCCACTACGGCGTCTCTCATAATCATATGATGGCTTTGGGACGTTAAACCCCACATATCATTCTTCGTCAGCCAGGATCTGCATGACTGAAGTTGCATATTCATTCAGCGTGACAAAATGCGGCCACCACTTACACCAGCCTATGATGGCCCATTCTGCGTACTCCATCGTACACCTAAGACGTTCACGCTGGACATCAATGGCCGTGAAGACGTCGTGGCTGCTGATCGACTGAAACCTGCGTATATCGCCGCTCACGCGGCCGCGGGGTTTCAATCTTCAGTCTGGATGCCCACATCCAAGCATGTCCACTGCGCAACTCCTCTGGTGACTCCTACGGCTCTCGCTCTATTAGGGGGGGGGGGGGAAGCCCTGTGGCACCTCAGAATGCGGCGCTCTCGTCAAAGAAGAAGTTGGCAATAGGCCGCGCGGCGGATGCAGCACGATAATGAAAACGTCAGTTAGAAGACTGAACGCTCTCAGGGCTGGATCTTCTTCGTGTTAGCTCCGACACCCTGTATTACTCTAACACATCATTTGCCCGAACGCATATTTTACCACCACCTCGTACTTCTAGTCGCACCGATCATTCTTTCAAAGGCAACCCTATCTTCGCCCGTACAGAAAAATTCAAAAATTCGCCTTTACTTTTATCGATAAAGTAATGGAATAAATTACCTTCCAGGACAGCTACAATAACTGAGCTTTCTTTGTTTAATTCTGCATTACTAACGTATTTGCATCCCTGTTATTTTCATTCATAATTCCTTTATCTGATGTTTACTCTTGTTGTTGTTCTTGTCTTGTCAATAGATTCTACGAATTTCTGTACAATATATATGTATATATATATATATATATATATATATATATATATATATATATATTAGTCCAATAGATTCTCCGTGAGTGGTCACAACGTGGTTTCGTTCGACGTTTCGGCCTAGAGTCTGGCCTTCATCAGGATGAAGGCCAGACTCTAGGCTGAAACGTCGAAATAAACCACGTTGTGACCACTCACGGAGGATCTACTGGACTATATGCAACGCTACGGCCCCTCATATATATGCATATATATATAGCATTGTATGAACCTGCCATTGTTCATTCTCTGTAAAATTATGTTCTGTTTATGTTTTTTCCCCTATATAATGCTCCTAGTGGGCTTTTAGGGTACTTCAATAAATCCAAATAAATAAATAAATAAAACGAGTATGTTTTGGGTGATAAAGACACACCGTGGATGATTGCAGTATAGATGATGTCAATCCGGAATCAAAATATGCTCTCAGTTCATGTTTCTGAGATGGCGAAAATAAAGGGTGGAACAGGGTACACTAAGACATTTGCACCTTTAGACGGATACGGCCCGTGAGCTTGTTCGTGGTCACTTGGCAATAATCCCACGGTGACACTGACAGCGTGGGCTCGTAAAGTGAAGGGGCTTTAGGGTTCATGTAATGTGCCAAAGCAGCAGCTGCTGGAACATGCTTTGTTTTTGTTGCCTTGTTTGATGAGATCGTCTAACATACTGAGGTGTGCTTCTGCCTGGAGTGTCGGAACCGAAATGAACCTTGGAAGGCATGTGATGAGCTTCTAGAATAATACTTTCCAGTCGCACACCTTCTGCCGTGGCGAAGAGCTGGAACTGCCTTGTACACAAATTAAGGCTAGAATACTGACCATATTTGGCCCTCAGCCAAAATATCCGGTATGACACAGTTTCCTTAGACTACAACAAATGAAATCCTTTAACGCAATCGAAGGAATCTACTGCGATTTTCCCCAAGAAGTGAGCTTGGTATCACGACAATGAGGACGCGCTTTGAAAACTGAATGCACTTTGAGTACGCCGAGCAGCCTGTTTAGTTTTTGCTTCAGTATCAACAATAGCATCTAGCTAAGCTGCAATAATGAGCGATGAATTAAATGCCCGGTGAACACAAAGCTCTTCGGAAAAATAATCAAAATATACCTAGCCTATGCGTATCACGCAGTTTCAGTGAATTCCAGCATCTTTTTTATATGAGGTAGATGTCCTACCCTTCACAAGTAGCTTATTTGTGCACTTTTATTTTACAGATCCTTCTTGCAGTGATGGTGACACCCTCTTCGACATCGGGGCTAGCGAAGGTGCTGAGCATGCCATCCTTGGAAGCCTTTCCGCTGGAAGATATTCGGCGCACATTCACGAAAATATTTGACTTTCATGTGCGTCTCTCTGAAGGAAAGCTGTACGGACTGTCGAACCTAAAACGATGGGAGCGTAGCTACATCAACGCCACTGACAGCGGCATCACAGCCCACTTCAAGATTGACGGTGGGCCGCTTGCAGTGACGTACACGGGAACCGTCCGCTCTGCACCCGTAGACGCCCGCGTAGAAGTGAACATCTACATACCCAGGATTGAGCTCTTCATATACGCCGAAGAGTAAGTTTGTCTAAATATATCAATGCACACTGAGATGAGGAGGAGTGTGGTTTGTATTTTACACTCCAGGTACCCCACGATTTTCTGAGTACAATCTATGAAGTATTGATATTCGGGGGTTTCTTGAAAGAAATGGTGGAGCCGTTTTTAACCATAAAAAGATTTCACCTTTCGTTGTCCGCGGCTCTCGATCGGCCTTGAGCACTAGTCACCACCGTTATCCTGGCCAGCGCCATTGCGTTGATTTCAGACGAGAGTATCTTCGTACTCACACGAGAAAAAAACAAGACCAAATAACTGAACACGTAGCTTGGAGGTGAATTAGTGCGGTGTCTGGCACGGACCTTTTCTACAGGACCCATTACTAACCCTTGTCAAAGTGCCAAAACAACTTTTCAAAATGGTTGCTTCAGAGTTTTAAAGTTTTTTTCTACAACATCATAGAAGATCGAATGTCTTGTGCTCTGACTTTTTACTAGCGAATCGCAATAGCCCTGTTTCAAGGGCAGATAACAGATACGTTCAAAAGACAGGTGTAGGGCACCGTGCACCCTATTGGAATATTTTCGTGGTGAGATCAGGTTATCCGAACTCGAAAGCTGGCGCAGAAGTGCAGATGTAATGCATTTATTGCGATCTGTTGTTTTTGCAATACGTGGTTGCAGGCTAAGGGTCGCTGCAAAAATTTTGAAGCATTCAACTAATGCATTAGAACCGCGAACCTTAAGAAATGGCATACATCTGCATTGTTTAACATACATGCAGAATGTTTTAGGTTTCACGGTACCTGGCTTGATATAGACTGTGAATTGCGTGTGACATACCGCGGGCCACGGTACGTGGGTATGAGTCCCACGGGACTTCAGGAAAGATTTTAGGGCGTAATCGTTAGGCACGTTATCATATGGATGAAATCGTCTGTCAGCCATTTTAGTCCTGTTTTCTCACTCTTGTATGCCACTTTCGTTATGGAGCAAGATATGCTATTTAGCAAGTTAAGCAGACGTCCACACATTTTGTGATGCCGCTATGGTAATGCAGACAAAATGCGTACGTTATTTCTAACAAGAAGGTGGTTTATCAACCAAGGCTTCAAAGACGTGTTTGTGTCACGAAAATACGTAGATAAAATGCGCGCAACAAAAAAAAAACCAACAGAAAAACACACGTCCTATCGACGAAGTGAATAACGATGAGTGGGTGAAGCAATGGGTTCGTTCAAACTTACCGTAAGTCAGCGGTGACATTGACTGCACACGCATGTGAATGACAAAGAAGTGTAGAGTGATGGCTTTTGAGGTCATAAATAGCATGCTTTGCTGAGTTGTGAATTTTGTTTTTTTCTGCAATGTTATTGCTTTGTCGTATGAAATTTAGCATCAAGATGGCGAAGATGAGGTCTTGGCACGTTCTCCTGGTGGTTGTCTGTTTCCAGTCATACGAAACGCATCGTCATATACTGCACAAGCCAGCCGATGTCCGTGATCCTCTTCATCATCATCATCATCATCATCATCATCATGAAGTATAGTGGGTATCTTGCATGTGTTGTGCCGTGATTGCAGAAAGAGAAAGTGTGGTCTGGGACATTCTTTTTCTTCACCCTCATCAGCACCTTCGTCAAAGTCAGCGACAGCTATGGCACACTGCATTAACGCCAACAGCAGGCAAGCCTCGACTTTAAGATGCTTTGCCCCAAAAGCTTCGTAGCTTTGGATGATTAGGTAGCCGTACACACAAACTTTCAGTCAACTAGGGCTTTACACAATGTGCAAGCAACAGCGAGGTGTAGTCAACCTTAAATATTGGGGAGCGCATCCTCAGCGTTCTCTCCTGATATGACTACACTGTCACTGTTCTCATATAGAGTGTTCTCATAACGAGTGTTACGCCATACTTGATGCCATGTCCTTCGCGGGATGTAGCAATGCCGTGCCCAGATGTGCTCAACTAATGCAGCTAGCGGAAGGGCTAAATCATAATGTTTGGCGTTAGTGGTCGGCATAAACATGTGCCGAGGAATAGTGGTAAACGAATATTGTAAGTACCACCAGGTGTCAACGTAAGCCAAACGATGGTAAAGCCGTCGAGATTGAATGGTGTCGGCACCTAGCGTAATGTGGAGAAAACTTCTTAGCGTCGATGGGCCTTTATGTCGTCTGCTATTCATGCCGTATTCGCAGGCATGCGAGTACCTCGCTGTCATGATCATCTCGGGAGAGCTTGCAAAGGATGGATTGAGAGAGAAGGGTGACCGTGGTAGTATAAGTAATCTTTATGGAACAATAATATCGCCAAAAAGTCTGCGGGCACTCAAAATGTAACTAAATAAGAAGCATATTCATAATAATAAAAGCAAGAACTAGCTCAAATCCAGCTTAAGTTTTTTTTAGCCCCAAGCAAGTCTATAGCCACTATGCTCAGTGGCTATTCAAATGGTTGCGCGTATTCACTATGTTACTGTTCGTGATGTGCGATTGCCGCTATGACGAAGTGTGCCGTCGTTGTAGTCCTTGCAGTGGTCGTACGGTGGCCATTGGTCGTCCTTTATTTAAGTGTGCCGCTTGTTTCCGCCTCGTACTACGGTCGTCGTGGGCCTTAGCAGGTTAGGGCTTACCCACGATGTGCACTCCCTGGACTGTCAAGTGGCGGTTTGCAGCTATCTTGTGAAGAAAGAAAGAGTGGCAGATATCCCGGAAAGTGCTGTTACGAGGTGTCCGGAGAGCATCTCCCGTAATTTACCGAGAGAGACGGCTGCTTTCTAACACCTTCATGCCTGCTACCTTCAAATCTATGTTATGGGCGCTGTCGTCGCGGGAAGTACGATGTCTACTAAGACCTTCTTCGTTTTGCCATCCGTAGCACAAATCTATCTCATCTTATTGGGCTTTTTAACATGGCGCGGGTCATGCGCCACGAGCCCTCCCACCACCAATTGCGTGCGCGGACGTGGCAGGGGTGCATATCATCGGGTAGCTTTCCGTGGCTCCTCACGCCATCATACCTTTTGCACGTGCCTCTTGCTCCTTTACTGAGTAGACATGCATGTCCGAGAATTCAATGATTGTAGGCATGCCGACCATATCTACACAAGTTTTTCGCCTTTCGACGCTTGTAAGAACTGTAGTGAGTGAGTGGATGTTGGTGTGGTTATGTGTAAGTGTGATTTGCGCTAAGTGTAATTTGCACCATCCATTTGCCAATATAATTTAAAGTTTATGCCACTTAGCCGTTTAAGAACATCATACTATGCATTAGGCGCCATCCCAACAAAAAGAAGTGCTAAATGTCAAGGTGTGAAAGGAAAACCTTAGCGGCACCATGTCATGAAATTTTGACAATTTCATAATACTTGTGACATATGCCACAAAGTATGCGCGAACGTCTGCAAAGGCCAATCAGCAGCGTAAAAAATCTCAGGCCAAGCACTTATATAGCAGTAATTGCAATGTTGCAAACAGAAAATCAGAGTGCACAAAATTCTGCTTACACTAACTGCACCGAAATACAGATTTTTTTGTTGACGCTAGGGCAAGAAGACAATACTCAATATTTCGGCAGCGCAATAAAGTTTTATATTGTATGATAGGCAGCACAGAAGCATAATAGGGACAAATAAAAAAATGGCAGATCCCATGTACAGTGGGAATCGATGATATGCGAAGCAGGAATGAGAAATGTTATTATGTCACTTGAAAATCAGCACAACGTTACTAGGTGGAGGCAAATGATGCCGCACATGACGTTTGTGTCATGATTATCATGTTTGGATGTGTCTCTACCCTCGTCATCTATTCACGTCACGTGATACCAAATTTAGTATATGTGGAGCTAGCGAAAAGGCCGCGAGCACGCTATACGCGTGGTATTTTGTCATATTCTTACATGACACGCGTAACAGTATTCTCATGTTTGCACCAGTCATATATTTTGTCATCAATTGACGTCCCGTAACACTAAGTTTGGTATATGTGGAGACAGAAAAATGGCTGTGAGTGCATCATGAAGGACCCAATATACTCCAATGTAGCGTTGACGCACGCGCATGCTGGGCACAGCGACGCTACGTTAGCAAAGCGCGAGCACTCTATAGTCTGACGCCAGGCTCGACCGGCGCGACCAGCGTCCGTCGGCGTGGATCGACGACAACCGGCGCGAAATGCGACATGCTGCATTTCGCGTCGATGCGTTACCTAAACAACACTGCGTGTTCCTCTTTTCGTAACGGAGGGACGGCGGACACGCTGAAACGCGCATGCGTCAAAGCGACACAGGGCGGCGCGCGCCTGCAAATATATGGCAGGACCGGCGCCTGGCGTGGTGACGCTGGCGTGACGCGACAAAATGAACGCCAGTGAGCACGCGCACCACGTCACGTCGAAAAGTATTGGCGTCTTTACTGTGGCATGTAGTCATGTTATCACATGACACGCATCTCATCATTATCATGCTTTTACCAGTCACATACCTTCGTCATCCATTGACGCCACGTAATACCAAATTTGGCATATGTGAAGCTGGTGAAACGGCCACGAGCGTATCATCTTTGTGGCATGTAGTCATGTTGCTACATGACACGCATGTCGTGACTTATCATGTTTGGATATGCCATTCACCTATGTCGTCCGTTCGCTCTGCGTAATACCGAGTTTGGTACATGTGAAGCAAGCGCAACTACCACGAGCGCATCATGAGCGTAGCATGTAGTCATGTTGCTACATGACACACATCTCACGTTTTTAATGTCTTTACTAGTCACATACCTTCATCATCCGTTCACGTATTGTAATACAAAATTTGGTTAAGTGAAGCTAGCGAAACGGCCGCCAGCATATCATTAGCGTGGAATGTAGTCATGTTGTTACATGACACGCATCTCATGATTATCATTGTTGTTCCAGTCACATAACTTCGTCAATCCATTCACGTACTGTAATAGTATATGTAACGCTAGCGAAACGGCCGCGAGCGCAGCGTGAGCGTCACATGTAGTCATGTTGTTACATTACACGCATGTCACGCATGTCCGCCATGCACTCATGCCATACCATACCCGTTTTGCAAGATGTCATGTTAACGAAACCACCGCCAGAGCTGCAGCACCAAGAAATACATATCATAATCTTCATGACATCCATGTCATGTTTTGAATGTTATGACTAAGTAAATATGTTTTTCATACAGTCATGTTATGTTATACCAACTTTGGTATCGATACCATTATCGAAACGGCCAGGAGAGGTAAAAGTCGTAGGTGGCTAGATAGATAAATACGCTCAATGTCACCGAAGTTCGCTGAAAAAAGCTTCGAATTTATTATTAAAAGACATACTGCGTCATGCAAAGCACGGCTGTCCCCGAAGGCTAGCGCCCAATAGAGTGGCAGATCACACCCTACTTATATGTAGTTGAAATGTTAGGCTGGCATCGTGCACTAACTAGGCTATGGAGGGCGTAAATCACCATAGAAATGCAGACAAGGTGCTCTAGTTGCCGACACTAAGCTCAAAACACTGTTAGCACAGCGCTGCGAAGTACATTTCACTGTGTCTTACCGAACGTCTCTGCACATCAACACAGTGATGATATGGAGTGTAGCCGGATCTTGATAAGAATAGCTGCCAAACATTGATATATTTTGCGCAAGATCTCATAGATACATGTAGAATAAACAATCAAATGTATTCCCGAGAAGAGATTTGACTAGTGGAAAAACTCGCTCATGAGTCGACTTACCCAAATTCTCTCAGACTTGGAGCTGGGAGCCTGTGTGAGCTCGGATGAAAAATATTTTGGTGAATTTGAGTTCGAGTGAGTATGGTCGAAGAAAATTTTAGTGAAGCTTAGTCTGAATGAGGTCGGTTCAGAATGATATTGTTGAGCCTAAAGCCGAGTCAGCCGCAAGCGCAAGACATATTTCTCGAGTGAATCTTAGTGAGCTACATATTTCATTGCCGGCGGTTCACTTTATTGTTGCACGTAAGTATGGAACGAGGGATAAACCAGGTTTTTTTTTTTTTGAGAAACACCATTGCTAATCATTGTGTCATCCCGTGCCTTGTCACTAAAAAGATGAACCTCTGTATTAACACTGTTGCCCTCCTGCTTTTCCAGGCCAGCACCGAATAAACTGAAGCTCGCTGAGCTGTGGTTTTGGTCTGCCCCGGTGAGATTCAGGGCTTACCAACTGGATGGAAGCAGCCTGGTGTTCGACTTTCTCAACTGGCTCGCCGAAAGTCGCATCGCGAAGGCAATCAACGAAAATATGGGAGAAGTAATCGTCGATGTTGTGAACCAGTTCTTGGGCAAAGTGGAGCTTTTTGCGAGAAATGGAACGAAGATCGGAGGTGAATTATGCCACTTTCCTCTTCTTTGAAAAGCTATCAAGTAACAAAAAAACAGGAGAGTGATGAAGACAAGAGTTGGGTATTCACCTAAAGTCATTATGTATAGATGACTATAAAAATGCATGATACACACTGGTGGTGACTAATATAAACGTGTAAAAACTTACTCTTAAAAAGTGTTGGGCCAGATATTATTATATAACGGAGACTTCATATAGTTGTCACAAGCTGTGTCGCATATTGCTTTAAAAACGAGAACAGTAATCGTGAAGTTTTGAAGAACTGCAGAATTCATCCTTACTTTTACAAGCCGTGTCTACTAAAGTGGTGGCGTTTTCAAAGCATAGGAGAGCTATTACAGATTTAAAGAAAGAGAATTTCGTCAGACATTAAAGTAGGCTAGTTGGCTTACTGCACTCAATAGATGTTCAGCAGCAGCAGTAGCAGCAGCAGAAAGGCCCAGCTTGGTGTTCTTGTCACAGCGTGTCCACGGTGTTCGCCTTTTGCGCTTAACGTTTCTTTATCGTTATTGGCGTTGTGTAGGTAGCCTTGTTGGCACAGCTAGCTTTTTTTATTGCGCATGAGTCGTTCCACTGTCAAAAGGTGACCATTATTACTGAAATATACAAGAAGCATAGGTTGCCTATTTCTTCTTACTTTTCTCCTAGAAAGCCATTTCTGCTATAACAACAGTCTTACATCTAGCACAAAATAGTTTGCTTGAAAGGATATTCTGTTTTTACTTTCATTAGTGTATTTCGACCACGTGTTCTAATATAGTAATGTGCGCGCCGTCACCTACGCGCAGCGATACAACTATCCGAACGATAACGCTAGCAATATGTCTACTGATGGGACACATCAGGAGGAAGAGCCAGATACGGCTAATGTCTCATGTGCTGGATAAGGTAGTCTTGTGCCGTTAGTGAAGGCTCACCTCCTTCTATACATAACTTTAAAACATATTGAGGTAAAAAATATATCTTCCTTTGAAACATAAGTAACTCGAAAAATTAACAAGTCTGTCTGCTCTAAGAATATTTGTAGCATACGCTGCAAATTTACGCGTATTGTGCGAATGTGCAATATTCAATTTGCAGAGCAGCAATACGCCCGTTGCCCACAATGGAAATTAAACGTGACATATAGCCACATGGCCACATATTTAAAGTTATCCATTTATGATGCGCAGCACAAGGGCTCTGTACAGTTGGAGCTTTAATTTGCTATATTGCGTGCCTGGTTTACTGTGTATGTGCGCCTTCTATACTGATGTAATTACATTATCCCTGAGTTATGCATGCTTCGTTTTCTTGTTCTTCTATTATATGGGTGTTTTAATGTGTGAAAACGCCTTTTACTAGGTGATGAGAGTGTCAGTTATAAATATCTCAGTTTTATGTCACTTTTATACATCAAACTGAGAACCTATTCAGGCAGTATAGCATTTCCATTATTATTTACTTCCATAATAGTTTCCTACTTTATGTATGATGCTACAATATAAATTAAAAATTAGCTTATTTAACGAAACAGCCTGCCAACAATAAAACACAGCTATCTATGCCACCAGTCACAGTAAAGTACGGTGTGTACCTCAATCACCAACAAGTAATGGCAAGGAAATGTTGAAGGAAATGTATTGCATGTATTGCGCAGTTTCACTTGAAAATTCTGGTTTTAATACACCAGACATATATGCGGTGTCAACTACCTTCACTAATCGAGTCACTCTGTCAGTGGTTTTGAGGCGATAGTAATTATAAGGACACTCTCGGCTGGATTTCACCGCCGGCATCGGCGTCAATATCAAACACCGTATACATATACGAATCTATATATATGGAAACCTAAGAAACAAACAAATAAAATATACTTCAGTGCGTGGACCTCCGCGTCGCGACCGCGAGGTGTTAATCACTGAGCCATCGAGGGATACCTTCTTCCACGTTCAAACGGCAAGCTATTTGTATGTACAACTTACCGCTCTTAGCAGGCATATCGGGGGAGAAATATAGTGTTTTCAGAATTATCAGCAAGATGGCGCGATGAGCGCGTGCCGGCTCTCATTTCTCACGCTTACTTTGGCCCGCGGAGAGGAAAAGAGTGGACGATCTCTCGCGCGCCCCTATCTCCCAGTGGGGAGGATCATACGTCCTGGCTGGTGTTGGGCTTGAACTGGAACGATTCCGCTGTAGTTACGGGGCACACAAAGGTTACTGCAAGTGGCACAACTCCTTTTGCGATAAGGACGCGCTTTTCAGACACTGCGAAGTAACAACTAAGAAGCTTATTTGTGTTCATCGGTATCTTTACGTTTCGTGCGTCATTGGAGCTTGAGAAACGTGGGCCACATTTCGATCTGCTTGTCATTCTGGGCGGGACCTTCCAGTTTGTTGCTATCACGTTCGTTGCTTCGCCTTTGTGGCAAAGCAGTGATTTTTTATTTTTATGAATTACCACTGGCTTTGTGAAGAGCGTGCTTCAGCGTATGGCAGTTCGTATAGTATGGAAGAGATTGTTCGTTCACGCGCCCCAATATTTAAGCACTGTACAATACATAGCATTTATTCATTTTGCTTGTGTTTTGTAATTGTTAATTGTCGTTGATATTATATAAATAATAACCAAAGCACGTCTTTTGCCGCTTCCGCCCCCTGCGGCCACCTTGGAGAACGGAGGCGAAGAGCTCCTCATGCTGCCTAGAGCAGCTTTTTGCTTGGCCCCTGCCATTGCATAAAAAGATTACAATGGAAATAAAGAATAAGGTTCAGAGAAAGAATAAACCATTTACACCCAGTTAAGAATGTTAAGCTTTTCACATTAAAAGTCCATTCTTTACTTCTATACCCGTCAATTCTGAAAATCGTATTATTCAGACGTATTTTCTGGTCCCCGACAGCACATGCACTCTTGAACGGCATAAGTGTAGTTGTCATGAAAGTTATTCAAATGCAAAGTTTGACACGAAGTCGTGTCGCCCGGTCACGCACATTGTAAATGCGAATGGACACACCAACCAAGAAAGAACCCACTTTTCGGCTTGATGTTTTACCTACACCTCTTTTGGATACAGGAACATTGTTGAAATAGTTTCGCACAGTAATGATTGTCCACAAAGCTTCCATTAGGGGGGGGGGAAGGGGTTTCTAAACGTCAAGTAAAGTGTGTTCTTTATTGGTCGATGCATATTTTAGCGTTTAAACCAGGGAACTTATCTGAATCAATCAATTATTCAATTATTCGGTCAATCAATCAATCGATCATACTGGTATTTAATTCTATGACGCTTGGTCACACATTTGTCTGTTAATTTTTACAGTACCAGAGGTACACCAAGTGCACCGCACTGTAAATGTGAGGCACTAGCGCGCAAAAATGCCTTTCGCAGACATCTGAAATAAGATGCCCCTGTCCACATCGCTAACTTCGCCGTGACTTTGCCCACAGGCGGATCCGGCACTTAGTTGCCTCATTAAAACTTGATGAAATGCGCACTAAACGTCACAAAATTTAAAACATCGTGGAATTCGTTGAAACTGAGGAGCTCTCAGTCGTGATCGGTATGCTGAAAAAAAAAGTCTTGTTTCTACAACGTGACGAATGAACTCTTATTTCAAAGCCATTTCAGCTGCGCAAAAACATCATGTGTGCGTCGTGGTGTCGGCAGTACGCATGAAAAGACTGGGGGGCATCATGTTTCGGTTAGTCAGGCACGGTTGTCTGGCACCGTGATCACATTGTGAACGAAGCCCCGAATGACGGAATCTTGGCTGTCACACTGTCTCAATGCGAAATAAGTACAGAATGTGCGTATTGAAAAAAAGAAAGTGGGCTTTAATGCAATGTACATTTCTTTAGTTGTTGCCTTGACACTTTCAGTAATTTGGCAGTCAGCTCATTGTTACATTTTCCCGGCCCTGGGAAGCCCAAGATAATGAGCGTTTACAGCAGTGCATTTTGACAACATTATTTTTCAGGTGCTCTTTTAATTATACCAGCGCAGTGCTTCAAGAGTTCCCTGCTACGTGCACCAGTAATTGTCGCTGTGGCATGTGGTATTGTCACGCAATTGGCCTTGACGAACGAAGACTGTGAGCTTACGAACATATTCCAGCCAAAAGCAAACACGACGCAGAGAGAAAGTATTGGAGGACAAACTATCACGCTGTGGTTTGTTCTTCGCACTCCCTTCCCCTCCCCTTTTTAAATACGATAGTCTTTCTTGGGGACCTTCGACGCCAAAACTTTGGTCTGTCTGTTGTCTTTCTGTATGTCTGTACATTTGTCTGTTTGTTCATGGTAATCGTACTCAAAACGGCTACAAACGATATGCCAAACGGCCAACCCCATCCGCAGTGCCCACCAATATTGATAAAGTTTCAGCGTTATTATTTGTGCGATTGTCAATTAAAAGCAATTATTGTGCATAGCTGAGACACCGTAACAACACGTCGATGTTTCGCATGAGTGTCTTCATACTAGAGAAGGCACACACAAGTAATTCTAAGGACCATAGCGTTTATCACGCTGCGCTGACAGTGCGACGCGATTCTCAAAAAGGCAGGTGTTTCCAACGCTTTCGTAAAACGGCACGGTGATTAAACCTGCCCATTGCTTTGTGTTCTACACTTTATCGCCTCCGAGACAGGCACACATCTTTCTTCGCGGGCGCGCACTCCTTCCTTCATTTTTGAAGATAACTGCCAGATGGCCCTCGTGTATAACGTGCCTCGCGGCGCTCTTTCGCTTTCGCTGCACGGATCGAGACTCTCTGACGCAGCGCTCACAGAATACAATTAACCGATTTTCTCGCGCAGAACATCAAATAAACGTTTTGTTTACTCTTTCCACTCGCAAGACTATCGTATTTAGACGACATTTGCTGTGCAACATACAGATACAGGGGCATTTTTTTGCTCTATGTATCCCTAATCATTGCGCTGAGTTTGTATATGTTGAAGCAGTATGAACAACTGGCCTAGCTTTCAATTGTGTTAAAAGGTATTAGCGCCTGCCTGGCACAATTAAGAATTTAAAAGCACACGACCACGCCAGAGTGGCCACAGTCTGTGACAAACTTACTATAAATAACACTGTTCAGAAATATTCATGCCACCGGGGTTCTTCAATTTGACCTCCTAACACAACAGCCTGCTAATGTAAGCCCAAATCTGCGTCTCTGCCTGAAACGGGCAGTGCACTCATATTTATTATTTGCTGTTTTCAGATATTAAAAAACCACGAGAAGACCCCAGCTTCATTCCTGTGTTCATCTTACCTCCGTCTCCGTCTAACAATCCCTTGGGCCCCTGGCAAGATCCCAGCAAGTGGGGAATATTTGACTACAGCATCAAGCGCATGACGATGGCGTCGAATCTCGACCCACTTGTGCTTACTGACGTGGATGATGTCACATGGAATGGCTGGCACGTCCACATAACAAACGTGACTGTGGACGGTCTGGGCTTCCTTCGCCGAGGAGGAGACAATTACGCTGTCACCGATCGATGCGGCATCAGAGCCCGCGTCGCCCTCGCTATGGAGAATATTAGGGTCCAGTTGTACGCCACCATAGAGAGTCCATCTGTGCGGTTACGAATGGACGTTAGAATAATGGGAGTTGATGTGGTCCTCAAGGTGAAAGAGTGAGTGTAGTTTACTTTTATTTTCATTTCCTTTTAAACTGGGGAGATCCTGACAAATTGCCACAACCACATCTACGGGTGCAAAGGGTGAGGTTAAGTACTTCACGCTTTTTCATACTTTCTTTTTTCACTTGCTCGTACGTTTACTAGAATGGTTGACGCAAATATTTAGTGCTGTCATTTGGAAGCAGCGGCGCACGGCGGTTTTAGAGCTCGTTTCTGAAAAAAAAAAACTGGTAGATCCCACGTTTAATTAGAATAGATGATATGCGAAGCACGAATGAGGAAGGTTATGCCACTTAAAATCAGCACAGCGTTACGAGGCAGACGTAAATTATGCCGCACATAACTTTAACGTCACGAATGTTCTATTTTAACGTGTCATTTACCGTCGCCGTCTATTCACGTCACGTGATATCAAATTTGGTATATATAGCGATATCAAAACGGCCATGAGCGTGCTGTGAGCATAGCATGTAGTCATGTTTTAGATGACACGCATGCCAAAAATTATCATGTTTAGATGCGTCATTTACCTTCGTCATCTATTATCGTCACGTCCTACCAAATTTGGTATATGTTGAGCTAGCGAAAAGGCTGTGAGCACGCTATGAGCGTAGAATGTTGTCATGTTTTACATGACATGCATATTGTACTTATCAAGTTTGAATGTGTTTTTACCTTCACCATTCATTAGCATGACGTAACACCAAATTCGAAATATGTAAAGCTAGCAATAACGTCCACGAGCGCATCATGAGCACGGCATGTAGGCATGTCGTTACATGACACGCACGTCATAATTATCGTGTTTGCACCAGTTACATACCTTCGCCATTCATACACAACCCATATTAGAAAATTTGATGAATGTGAAGCTAACGGAACGGCCGCGAGAGCATCATGAGTGTGGCATGCAGTCAAGTATATGTGGAACTAGCGACGCATGTCAAGATTATTATGTTTGGATGTGTCATTTTCCTTCGTCCTCTGTTCCCGTCAAGTACTACCAAATTTAGAATGTTTGAAGCTAGTGAAACGGCCAGTGAGCACATCATAAAAGCGGCATGTACTCATGTTGTTACATGACACGCATGCCATGATTTTCGTCTTTTCCCCAGTCAAATACCTCCGTCATTCATTTACGTGATGTAATACCAAACTTGGCATATGCGAAACTAAGAAAACCACCGCGAGCGCTTCATGAGCGTGGCATGTAGTCATGTTCTTACATGACAACAATGTCATTATTTCTACGTAACAATCAGTCCCTTGTGATCGCCATGAAGTCATGTCATGCCATACCAGTTTTGCTGCATGCCATGTGAACGAAAGCACTGCTAGAGCAGCAAGACCATGAAATGTATTTCAAAACATGCATCACATACATGTCATCGTTTTCATGTTACGACAAGTCGCTTGGGCTCGTCATACAATCATAGTATGACATATCGATTTTGGTTTGATACCATTATCCAAACGTTCAGGAGGACGAAAAAGTCGTAGGTGGCTAGATAGATATAAAGATTGATAGACAGATAGACAGATAGATAGATAGATAGATAGATAGATAGGTAGATAGATAGATAGATAGATAGCTCAATGTCGCCGAAGTTCGCTATGAAATTCTTTGCATTTACAAGTAATCTTATGCGACTATTATGCTTCCAAGCAGTGCACGTCAACGCAGAATATGTGGTACTCCACTGTAGCGTCTGTTCTCGCATTCGAGTTGCACAACGACACACGACATTTACGTGGCATGAACGTCTGTCACACTCGCACGCACAATACAAGGTCGTGTTGAAGGACAGCGCACATGATGCGAGCGCACACACACACACACACACACACACACACACACACACACGCACACGCACGCACGCACGCACACGCACACGCACGCACGGCTTCTTTATATGTTAGGCACAACCAAATGACCCGAAGGGAAATTACTTCTAAAAAAATTGAGGGATTCAATTGTTGTTGTGTGGTATGTTTAAATTAACTGAAGCCAGCAAAGATTCACCATTTCCGGAAATCTGAACCTACAACCTTCAAACTACGCGTCAGTCGAAGCTTGTGGTTTTACGAAGACTTTTATTGTACCTGCTACGAGAGTGGTGCTACAGGGGAGGTGTTGAATGTAAATGTTTATGGATTAATTTTTTCTGTTTTTTTTTTCAGGAAAAACAAGGCCATCGAAATTGAAGACTACCAGCTTAATTTCACAATACCACTAGAGTACGACGTGTACGTGCTCACACCCGTTATCGGTCCACTGGTTGAAGCATTCAAAGGGTTTATGAAAAGGCGTTTGACTGAAGAAGAGACGAACAATCTGGAAGATAGCTCGAGGAAATATCTGGAGCGGGCGATAGGGACAGTGACCGAATTTATAACGGATCCAGCTCCCTGGATGCCATGGAACAGCTCCATCATCGACGCTTACCGCAGATACGCCGAAGAGCATAGAAATTGATCTAAGACTGCTCAATATTGCTACTTTGCGGTAGCTGCAGATAAAGATAATCAATGCTTGTTCTTTTTTCACTTTACTCGAGTTTGTCTGATGGAGGTGGCACTATGGTGACCTTTTTCAAAGAACAGCTACGAAAAGACATGGTTGATTTTGCACTTAAGAAATTGTAATAACACAAAAATGTGACATGTTTTTTGAGATAGCTGAATGTTTATTGTACATCGATAAAAGAGAGCTTGCATGATGTCTTGTGGAGTTTCACAGGTATAGCGCCGTTTGATGTGGATGCAGCTTAATGCTTGATGGTACAGGGACCGTCAGAAATATTCATTCAAGGCTGCCATATAGTGTGACATATACTATGGCAGCATGGAATGAATGCCATAGTACATAGAAGGAATATTGACCTGGGAATTCTAAACTGTCCTTGTACATCACTATACCGATGGATAAAGTCTATGACCAATGAATAAACAAATACATGTGGACATACAAAAAGAAACAGCAGGAAGGAGAAGATGGAAGCTTGCGTGGAAAAAATCCTAAATAAGGATTGTGTCGAGCCGACGCTTCCAGCAAGCGAAGTTGCCTTCTACAAGGATAGAACAGAGCTACCACAGCAGTGGTTACAATGTTAGAGCATCCGCTTTTTATGTGGGAGGCACAGGGTTCAATGCCTAGTGGCGACCTGGAACCCATCGCTTTTTCCCAAGGATTTGAAGAGAACAACGATTGAGCACTCGGTTGTATCTGGGCACTCACCTTTAAAGGTAGCAAGATAAAGTTCTGTGAAGGCTCCTGGGTGTACCTTAACCCACCAGAAGTTTGGTGAAATAGCTGAGCATCTACCACTACTATGGCAGGGAGAGAATTGCTGCCGCCAGGCAACTACTGGTTAAATTTACACAAGCGCGCCTCTGGCATGGTGTTCGGCAGAACGAAAGTCCTAGTCGCTTGAAAGGGCAGCACACTCGTAGAAAGTTGGTGGCATGGTAACACGAGACCTCCAATCAGGATCATCCTCTTAGGAGCGAAGCTCATCTTAGCCTAACCTTGTCACGCGTCACGCGTAACCGAGAGAAGAGACAAGAGAAAAAAGACGGTAGTCTCACAAAAACAGCGTAATGGATGACACTATTTTATGGACGCACAAAGTGCAGTTGAGTGACGATATTCTAGATAACGCGGTACCGCTGGTATCTGATTGGCTGCTGCACAGGCTGTGCCTCGGTACGCGAAGAATGAATGCCTCTCTCAGTCTCGTGAATGGTCACCGCATGTGGCACTAAGTTGGTGGGGCATGGACGAATCAGAGCAGCGGGCGCGTGGAAGACGCTTGCACTCGGCTTCCTTGGCTCGCGTCACGTCAGTGTTACGTGCGCCGTCTGCATTCTCGAACGAGATCGGATGCCCGGACGCATGCACGTACGAATGGACACACGGACGAATAGACGGACAGACCCTGCACCCCCCTCACCGTCATGCACTCCATGGATACGCTGTGATTTTTTTTTACTCAAGGATATAACATTTACGTTCTAGCCTTCAGGAAGACAAATGCGATTGATGAAACGTCATCCTGACACGACTACTGTTAAGGATTTTTCTAACCTTGTGGTCACAGACGCTTGTGGTTGCTGTATGGTGATAGCGTGTAAGTGGAATCGGAGAAAGCGTTGCGAGAACCAGAAGAGCGGCACCTAATGGGCGCCTAACTGGGCTAAGATCGCCTACTGAGGGCTTGCTATAGTTATTTGTTAGTCAGAGTTGTTTAGCTCGAGTTATTAAAAAATTAGCAGCATACTCAGGGAGTGAATGATAGAGAGTGGGGCGAAGCATTAGTCCGTCCATTCGTTCTTCACTTCACTTCACTTCACTTTATTTCCTTAAAGACCCCACAGGGGGGTGTTACATAAGGGGTGGGTTGTACAAGAAAGATACAAAAGCCACAGATTAACATTGCAGATGCATTGACACACTTTGAATAAAACGTGATGGACAGGTGATTGAAACAACATCGTGGGGAAGGTCATTCCATTCTTTGGCGGTGCGGCAGAGAAATGATGCAGGAAACGTTGAGGTGCCAGATCGGGGTCGGAAGACTTGAAGTGGATGGCCAGTGCGGGGAGAAATGCGTGCGGCGGGAGCGATGTAAAGTGGTTGGCGGAGTGAGCTGTGATACAACTTGTGGTACAGTGACAACGTAGCAATTCTGCGGCGAAGGGAAAGACTTAATAGACCGGATTCATTTTTAAGGGATGAAACACTGACATCGTAAGAATAAGAAGAATGAATGAAGCGAGCGGCACGGTTTTGAACTGCTTCGATGGCGTTGATCAGATAAACTTGGTGAGGGCTCCAGATGGGTGATGCGTATTCAAGTTTGGACCGGATTAGCGACTGATAGGCCAGAAGACGAACGTGATACGGTGAGTGACGTAGGTGACGTTTTAGGAATCCTAATGATCGGTTGGCTGATGAAATCATGTTAGTGATATGCGTTCGCCAGGAAAGATCAGGGGTTAATGTTACACCAAGATACTTGTAGGATACGGCTGTTTCGACTGGCATGTTAGCAATTTCATAGGAAAATTGGAGTGGGTTTTTGCGGCGGTGGAAGGAAACTAATTTGCATTTGTTAGGATTAAGGGTTTAAGGGATTAACGGATTCCGTCCGTCTGTGTGACCGTCCATGCGTCCACCCGGCCGTCCGTGCGTGCATCTGTTCGTGCATCCATCCCTGCGCTCATTTATGCATCCGCCCCTGCGTCGTGTTCATGCGTCCCTCCATGCATTTGTCTGTGTGTCCGTTTGTCCATCTATTCAACACTCCAAGTAACGTCTCGCATCTTTTCGTCATATATTCCGCATATGCACCGCCATCAAGTGGACATTCCAAGAACTAAACGAGAGGTGGCCCACGCACACTTTCTTACGACTTGCGCTTCTTGTCTACTTCCCACCTTTAACCCCCTCGAGTTCATAGTATATACTAGTTCATTGTATTCATGGCACTGCGGTTCAACGCTCGCTAAACCGTTCTAAAACTAAGGAGGTTACACCCAGCGAGTATAACGTAGCAACCCTTTCTTGTCAGATAGTGCTCAATGTACATGCCAATAGCTGCTAATATGGATCGAAGCGTGCGCGTTAACAAAAAACCGAATGCTCCTGTCTCTCATTCCCCATTAGCAGCCACTGGCATGTACATTGAACACTAACTTTATTGTTCAACAACGCACAGAAGAAATCTTCCACCGGCACCACCTTGGAGGTGAAAATGTAACAATTGTTACACACTACGACGGCTACGAGGGATCAACCGGTGCCGTTATAAGGAGCATCGCCCCTAAAATACAGATGTTGGGAGCCATGAGCTAAAAGCCACAAAATGGCTTGACGAGGCCCACGGTCGCTTTAACTTGGCGCTAGCAGGAAACAACAAGAACACGAAGCAGCGAGAACATACTACACATCTTCCTTCGAACTGAAGTAATTTTTACGTATTACATAGATGGACATGTTATCTCAAAAATATAATGCAACTGTCCACAAAGAAGGCATCTTCACCTATGGTGGAACGTTATTTGAAAGAGAGTTGTAGGCATAATACGCACTGAAATAATGGCAAACCTGTACATGTATAGATATACAGACACATACCTATATAAGTGCATAGGTACAGATAACCAGTGCCGATAAAAACACCCCACCTTACCTTTAAAGCAATATGCTTGCAAGTTTTGAGGTCGAAAACAGGCTACTTAAAGGCTATGTTGTATTGTTGAAATGACATGATAATGAATAATTTTTAAGCACCACTGCCTATTCAGAGAAGAATGCGAGATTTGGCGTGTCGTCCTTTTTGACAAGCTGTCATTTTTGGCAAGTGGGCGTAATTTGGGAAGTACTCAGCGTCGCAGAGGTTTTTTTGGTATAGATTATTGCTATGAACGAGGCTGACGCTAGAAGTAACTGGCAGGGTAACCTGGCAGTTTGATAATTACAATTATATTCAAAACGCGTTCAATGGGACAGGCGCGTAGAGACGATGCTTTGAAGAAACTAAGCGTGGATGTCATGGTCATTCTTCAATATTTCACTTCAGCAGGAGCCCTGCTAGAGCACAGTGGCAGATATGATGGGACGTTTGCAGAAATTGTGGCGTATGTGAGGAAAGAAACACCGGCGTTGAGCTGTGAGGTAGGAAGATGTAAAGGTTGGGGCATTTAAATATTTGCACGGTGCAGAACGTGCAACTTGTTTCTAGTGAGCAAGCTGTAGTATGGAGTGCAGGTGTTGCACTGCAGTAGAATAAATATAAAAAGTGCACAAGGTATTCTCAACTTTTATTTGGAGCTCTGCCTGGAAAAAATATTCCGTACAAAGCTCTTGAGAAATTTACGAGGTGGCAGGCTAGGATTTGTTCATTTGTAGGAGAACAACTACCATGTCGTTTTCTTTTTCTGTGGGTTGTAAATGACATTTTTGAGAACTGTTAAGAAATTAAGGCCGTCTAGAGTGCTGCCAGAATTTGTAGTCCCACCAGTGAATGAGCAAAGACCAATCCAGGCTATCTAAAGCACGTTGTTTTCTCCTTTCTTTTTCTGTCACTGCAGTTTTCATTAGAGTGTCTGACAAAAGTCACGTAAGAAATTGTACAATGAACGAGTCGATAATTTACTGCTTTTATCACTGTATCGGCAACTATACTGTTCAGGTTCATGACAGGAGGCTCCTGAACATTTAGAAAGAATGCATTTATTGCAGAGTCAAAACTTTTTTTAATATTACATCGTGTTACCGAACCAAGATCTAGATGAGAGCCGACAGACGGAAAGAACGTAGTGGGATAATCAGGGTTAACAGTGGAAATGCCTCCGACTGGCTGGCCGACGTTTCCGTAAGAGGACCTATCTTTTTCAAAGGTGCGATGTCATCCTTGGCGTTTAGTTTTGAAGGGTTAGTGGGGACGTCCTCTCCTGGTGGGGGCGCGTGCCTATGTTGATAATCGCCGTCTGAAGAGCAGCAAAAAACTATAAAGCAGAGGAGTGCAGTCACCACTTCTCTTCAAGT